ATTTCTCATACAAAATCTAAATTCGGTCGATGTACTCACTATTTGAGAGAAAATCTTTTCCCTTCCCTTTATTATTCCTCTGTGCAGAATTTTGCATAAAACGGGTCCATGCCATCTAGCGGATATTTAAGGAACTTAAGGGAAAACAGGTTTGTTACTGTGGAAAATATTTAATAATTCATGCAAATATTTAGAATGAAAATCGAATTGTAATTTTGATTTCATATTTAAGACCCACGATTGCGGCTTCAAAGTTATTAAGACGCGAACTGCACTGTATTGACACGTATTAAGTGTAATTATTTCTTACTGAGATATTTAATACGATAACTTAATAATTTATTAATCACAGCATTAAACGGTTTTCATCTTGATAATCAGTTTTGAATATCAAAATGTTTGTTATTTGTAACACATTAAGGTGTACCTATCATATAATACCAGTTGATGGATGATGCTTGCGTACTTCAGTTATTACAGAATAGGAATAACGTCAGGTATAATCCCTTGTATTAGTTATATCTACATATAAAATCTGCGTATTAATTATTTGTTATTTGTTTAGATCGGCGATCTTTCTTGGGGTTCTGTAAATCAACGATGAAAATCGATTGGAAATTGTCGCAGTTCCAGAACTTTGCTGGCCGTAAATTTTTAGAATAATCTAACGCTAAAAAGATTTTTAATCGAAACAAAAAAGGCGTAGTTTTCAATTCGACTGTATGTTTTTTGTATATCTTACGCGATTGGTCCGACATTTGTGAACCGGTTTCGATTATCCTTTTTTTGCTGGCAAGAGGGTAGCTCAGTAGTAGTCCCATTTAAATTTGAAGAAAATATACCGCCTCTAAGGGTGGCAAATAGAGGGATGAATCCGCTTTATTTGATTTCACTCAGTGTGAAATAATTATGTAAAAAGTTATTGCGTATCATCTATCTTACACGAATTGAGTACAGAACCCTCAGAACTCGAGATTTACTCTCCAAAGGCGGCTTTTATTTGTTAACCGACTTCAAAAAAGGAGGAGGTTCTCAATTCGACTGTATGTTCTTTTTTTTGTATGTATGTTACGCGATAACTCCGGTATTTGTGAACCGATTTTCATGATTCTTTTTTGTTGGAAAGGGGGTACTTCCATAGTGGGCCCATTTCATTTTGAAGAAAATCATCCACCTCGTAGGGTGGCTGTTCACGCATGAAGATTCATTTTTATAAATAGCGCCTAACTTTAATTTAGGAGCAATTATTTTAATAGTTGATTTTGCTATTTCTCCAATTCAAGGCGTTTTTCTCTCGATATACTTTGAGTAGTGAGAACTTATTTTTATTATCTCCAGTGTCAAGTCCTGTATAGTGGCTTAAAACTTAGCAAATAGACGTAATTCCATGTACTTTTGAGGTCGGTTTTTTAGTACTCTGTACTGAGATTATTTAGGAAACAAATTATAATAGTGACAGGTGTTAAAGGTAAAAATAAATCCCTTAACAACACAATGCATTATAAAAATGATCACTTTTCGATCTTTTGTGTATTGAAAACCAATATACGTCTATAGTTTGTATTTTTTGAAGATGGAGTAAAATGACAGTTCATTGCACAAAAGTGTTGCCCGCTTGCAAGTAGCTAGTGTCTGCAGCCGATAAATATTCAATCGACTATCCACTGTATATTGGTTATGCAATAATTCATCATCGCCCCCAATATTCGTCCAACTCCTGGGCACATTATTCACAGGTTAATGTGAATTGTCAATTTTGCAAGTTCATGTATACATACGCTACATTTAGAACTATGTCTTTTAAAAACAAAGAAGAGACACATTTTAATTCAATATGGATAATAAACTGCTGGTATTTGTGACAGTCCATCAGTCGCGTCTTTCAAACACAAATTAAAAGAGCACTTCCTGCCGAACGCATTTTTTTTATAACATCAAGTGACGGGGCGAACAAGTCGTGCGCCTGATGGTAAGTTTACAGGCCTGTCCATAACAGTTACAGTGCCACTCAGAGCTTTAAATTGCAAAGATCTGAGGGGCACTACCACTGCGCTCGTAACCCTGAGACATAAGTTGATAAGTCCCATGTGCCTGTAATTTCACCAGCACCCTTACCCTTCAAAACCGGAACACAGTAATGCTGACAGCTATAGCTGACAGAAATAGGTAAGGTACTACCCTGGACGAACTCTCTCACAAAGATTTTCTACAGCATTAGTTAGTTAATCGGTAACATATACATATATAAACTAGTCATTTGTTATTATAATATAAGAAAGAAAGAAAGAAAGAAAAACGTTTATTCGCACATTTAAGTCACTTTACATCCCTAAATTATAAACATAACATTAAATTGATAGCTATTTATTAAATAATCTATAAATAAGAATGCAAAGTGACACAAAAGAGGAAAAGGAGACGACTCAGCAAAAAGTCTATCTCTGGCGAGAGAGACGCTGATTTTCAGTCGTTCCTGTTGCATCATCGACTGGATGTTGAGAGATATATATTGCGCTTATGTATGTATTTATGTACATAAAGTTTATGAATATTACCATCATTCATATATATTTAGTCACATTTAAATTTAAATTTTATTGTACAATAATTAGTATTGCAGACTTCACTTTTACACCATGGCTAGGATCGGCTGGAAGAGATCTCTTCTAGAGATAAGTTCACCTTTGTATATGGCCTTTGTAACGTGTGTTCTATGTGTTTTTTCTTTGTGCCATAAAGGATTATATAATAAAATCCGCCTGTCTTTATTAAAATGTATGTGTAAAAATTGATTTGGATACCACGCCAACCGGTTAAAATAAAAATAAAGAAGGCAATATCACAAAATATAGACCATTTTTATAGGTACTTAACTAAATGTAAACAATCTTGATACATCTTTTTGTTGAAACATATGCTTTACAAATCAATAGGTATAAAAATAGGCATGCAATTTCATATGAAGCCAAGTATTTGTATTTTGTATGTGAAGGTAAGTAAAAATCATTTTATAAACATATTAAATAGACATCGTAACAAGATTGTTTACATTTAGTTAAGTACCAAAACAAAAAGACTATACATGGACTATATAAAATTTTGTGAAAACTGGCAACCCTGCATGCAAATGTCAATTTACAACGTTTAAAAGTTTAAAAAGACAGATTAAAAGTATAGCTGTGGCCCACCATACAAATCAATTGTACTATACGTAACGATAACAAGAACGACGGAAAATATTCACAACCCCTTGAAGATTAGTACATTATTGCAGATAACAGGAAATTAACAATTACCTGACGAGTGGGTGCAGTGAATAAGAATGACTGAGATTAGAATCAAAGATTGTGATGAGAATGACTGTGAATATCGTTTTATCAAAGAATGCAATAAATAATTAATAAATTAAACCCTAATCAAAAAAAACACGCGCGCGATCTGCCGGTTCGCTCGCTTAGCGTATAGTCACATGCACTGCATTCAAACTAGGGATGCCACGTCTACATCCATAACCGCAACAACGAACCATTCCCATATTTTTAAATATCTTCTTCCTACTATTTACATTCCAAAGATATCCAAATCAATCGATGCAGAGTTTTTGCGGATACGAATGTTTTGCAAATCACTGCAAAATCGTCGGGAGCAGCCCCCAATCAATCCAATCAGGGATGGAGAATTCCGCAGCCTGTAGTGCCAACAGCGACAGCAGTGGGAAAACTGTATGCAGTCGGTGTGTTTGAATGAAATTTCACCGCATGTACGTTGCATTCAAGCTGATTCCCAACAGCATACCTACTTTACGCCCATTGGCAAATACATTCACTACGATAGCAAGCATTGTAGCTAATTGTAGCTAATAGTGTATGCATGGATGCGATAAGAAGAAGAAGCCTTGCGTTGCCTTCTTAAATATGTCCATGAGAATAGTATTCTGAAGTCAGCGCTTGTTCTTGATTGATGTTGTCACAGATCCTGTATAGCCCTACCTCGTTTTTGTTAACCGATTTTGATGATTCTTCTTTTGTTGGAAAAAGGACCCGTCAGTATTGGTCCCATTTAAATTTGAAGAAAATAATCCACCTCCAAGATCGTTAGTACCGAATCCGAGAAATGACGGTCCGAAATGTCTCAGGGATAATTTTATCTCTAGGTGTACAAGCGACATTTGTATTTTCTCGGATTCGGAGCGAACTTAGTACACAAGCGGCATTAGAAGTGGGTATGAGTTTTCTAGATTTGTATAGTCTCGGATGCGGAAGGAATACGAATCGGATGCAGTGCAGATAGCAAACGCGCTAAAGGTGGCAAACTACGGGATGAATCCGGTTTCTCACACTTTCCGGTAACCGATAGTAGCTGTAGAGCTCCTTGTGAAAGAGTTCGTCCAGGGAAGTACTGCCACCGTACCTATTTCTGCCGCTAAACAGTAGGTAATGTGAGCATTACTGCGTTTCGGCTTGGAAGGATAAGGGTGCTGGTGAAATTACAGGCACTTAGGACTTTTCAACTTATGTCTCAGGGTGACGGGTGCAGTGGCAGTGTCTATCAGATCTTTGCGCTTTACAGCTCTGAGTGGCAGTGCAACTGTTTAGACAGGCGTGTAGCTTTCTACCAGGCCCACGACTTGTTCGTCCCGTTACTTGATATCATAATTTCAATGAAACTTGGCAAATAGATGTAAATTCCACGAACTTTTGAAGTAACTTTTTTTTTATTAAAATGTTACTATGAATTGATGTTATTATGAATTGTCTGATTTCTCAAGATGGAAAACGCCTTATGATTTTATCTTTGTATTAAAATTTGTTGTGTTATTGAGTATCAATAATGTGTAGATAAGCTATGGTATAAAAGTCCATCGCGGTCTTAATTGATTTCATACACACATTTTCATGATTAAAAAAATATATCAATTTATAAATTAATTATTGAAGTGTGTGTCAATCATATTAACGAATAACCAATTTTAGTTTTGAGAATTGCCAAATATTAATTTTGTACTTTAGTGACATGGCCGTGATTCCATTTTTAACAGTATTTCTTCTGTGCGTGTTCACAGCTGGATCAAGTGTTTATGACACAGTAAGTTATTATCCATTTCATGATGTAAAAACAATAATTATTAATTAATAATGTTTTATGCAGAATTGACGACCTCGTTGATCAAGAGACTTACACACCGGTATTCATGGTGTCGCCATCTCTGAGGTCTCGGGTTCGACTCCCGAGTCGAGTCAATGAAGAAAAACTAACTATTTTGTACTAACTTTTTTTTAAATGTGCGCTTGATGGTAAGCTTACAGGCCTGCCCATAACAGTTATAGTGCCACTCAGAGCTTTAAATCGTAAAGATCTGAGGGGCACTGCCACTGCGCTCGTCACCCTGAAACCCAAGTTGACAGGGCTCATGTGCCTGTAATTACACCAGCACCCTTACCCTTCAAAACCGGAACACAGTAATGCTAACATTACTGCTTGGCGGCAGAAATAGGTTAGGTGGCAGTACTATCCTGGACGAACTCTTTCACAAGGAGCTCTACTGCTGCTGCTGGGTCTGGGTGTGTGTGGTACCGTCGTTGTTTTCCATTTCCATAACACATGTACTTTAGTTACTTTCTTTGGTGTCAGAGTAACGTATATTATTTATTTAGGAATACACACATAAAAAGTGTCTACGGATCAAGGTATTTCTTTAACATTTGACTTCCTTTATTAAAATTAAATAATAAGATGTATATAAATTTATTAAATTATTTATTTATTCATTAGATTATTAATATTAAATTAACCTAAAAAATCAATGGTGTTAAAAAAAATTAAAAAATCCTGATTTTCAGTAATTGGCAAAAAAGTGCCTGACACCTAAGACACTTTTCATGAGTATATTTAGGGAGATAAGACGACTAAATTCGTAATTTTTATTCGTCATTTATAGTTCTTGTATAAAGTGGCACTACGTAAGTGGTTGCCTTAAAATAATAATTTATTTATATTTTACATTGATTGTTTTTATTATGTTTTGTTTTTCTTCTGTTTTCTTTTTTTTCTTTTGTGATGTCATTACGGTAAACAAATGAATGTATTGTCTTCCTTTCTTTGTTTCTTTCTAAAATACTGTAACAATAATAATGATGTGCCAGACAACTACACCAATTTCCTGGTCTCAAACTAGGGAATTATTATATTATGAGTACCAGCACAACGGAACTCACACTTCACTCCCACAAATTTAGATAAGTTCAGTTCCCAAATTGGACTTACCGAGAATCGAACCCGGGACCTCCGCATCAAGCGCCTACAGTGCAAACCGTTAGGCCACCGAGGTCGTCAACGCACATCTCATGCAATTTTAACAGAAATTAGGCCTAAGCATTGACGACCATTATATTAATTAAATTATTCAATTGTTAATGGACTATTTGAAACATTGTATAATATTTGTAGCATCAACACATAGAACGAGCTGGGTACGTAGCTGAAACCCATCACGTGACTACGGAAGATGGATATATCCTAGAGATGCACCGGATCCCTTTCAGAAGGAACGAAACTTCAGGTTCAGCTGATCGACCCGTGGTATTCATTTTGCATGGACTCATGGGTGCTTCTCACAATTTTATAGTGCTTGGAAGACATAATGCTATTTGTAAGTATATATTAAAATTCAAAAAATAAAGCGACACGCCTGTCCACATCAGGTGCAGTGCTAATCAGAGCTTATTTAAGCACCTAGATACTTAAGTCGACAACTCCCATATGCCTGCAATTTCACCAGCAACTTTATCCCTCAAAATCGGAACTCCCGTTACTGCTGGGCGGCAGAAATAGGTAAGATAGCAGTACTTCCCTGGATAAACTCTTTCACAAGGAGCTCTCCTCCTAGACTTTCAAATGGAATGCCTTGCAATAATTATTGCCAAAATATGGCGTACAAAATTCATTAATAGAAATTATTTAGGATTGCATCCAATTCTCCCAAGTGAAAATGCTATCCGGACTGCCATATTACTTTCTCTTGTTTCCGATACACGTCTGCAATTGTGTGTTAATCGATCTTGTTTGCAATAACTTTTAATGTTTCCAAAGTATTGTTACGTAACGGACTATCAGACACCGCTTTCCGTCAGTTAGATCAACAGTCTATTTGCATTGACGTTACACATTCACAACGTAAAATATAAATTCCTTCCAGCTTACAACCTCGCCGATGCTGGTTTTGATGTTTGGATGGGCAACGCTCGTGGCAACAGAAACTCTAGACACCATGTCTCACTCGATCCTGACGCAAACGCACTACAGTTTTTCGACTTCACATGGCACGAAATTGGCACGTACGATGTCCCAGCAATGATCGACTACATTCTAGAAGAGACTGGAAATAAAAGACTGCATTATATAGGACATTCGCAGGGAGGAACTTCTTTCCTCGTAATGGGTAGTACGAGACCTGAATATAATGACAAGATAGCTTCAGCACATTTGTTGGCTCCTGCTGGATTTAAGACAAACTTTCCTAATAGTTTTCTGAGGGGTATGGCTGCGTACACTAATATTTTGTGGGTAAGTAATTCTGTCAGTTACTTGTTAATTAGTGTGTTCGTCCAGGGAACTACTGCCTTACCTTATGTATTTCTGCTGCCAAACAGTAATGTGAACATTACCGTTTCGGATTTGAAGGGTGCTGGAAAAATGACAGGCATGGGATTGACAACTTATGTCTCAAGGTGACGGGCACAGTGGCAATGCTCCTCAGATCTGTACAATTTAAAGCTACAGGCGTGTTAGTTACCAGCAGACGCTCTACTTGTTCGTCCCGTCACTTGATATCGTAAAAAAACTTTTTTCCCCTTAGGGCTCATTAAGTTTTGGAATTTATGCCAAGATTGCTTTCGTTACTGATTGACGTATTTCTTTACTTACATTTGCTTCTTTATTGAAAAAGTCTGTATTGGTAGCGACTCGTTGCAGTATTGTGTGTTGACTTTTGAATTAAAGATATTATAATTATTAATACAAAGATCGAACACTTAGAAAAAATTCCTTCGATCCGGCCGGATTCGCACCGACGTCTTCTAGCAAACCTTGCTAGACGCTATGCCAACTAAGCCACGGAACGAACCAGCGGACCTCACGAATTTTTGTATGTGCTCATTGTCGTAACTTTGTATTTGGTTTTTCAACGACTTTTTTTAAAGATATTATTTTATAAACCTAATTCTTTAACCTAAAATTTAACAATTTGTAAGCGTAACGGCGATGCAATTTTAATGACATAGGAAAATAAGAAACAAACTGCGTTTTTTTTTCCAGGCAATGGCGGTGAATATTGGTATAATAGAAGTGGTGCCTCCAAACCCGATACTCCCGTTTTCAGAAGATGCAAAATCTGAAGTATTGAAATACTGTGCTGGAGATATTAAACTCAAGGAATTTTGCATTATGACAGGAGTCAAAGAAATCATGGTGAGTATCATAATTTTAAAATTGCCTTTTTCCGGTGTAGCGATTTTCATTTAAAACTACAGTTTTTGTGCAAGTACAAAAAAGTCTTCGTTCAAAACTGGTATCGTACAAAACGTAATTGTTACTTTCGCAATTGGTTATGAACCACCGGTTTCGTATGCGGCCGAAGGGATTTTTATGCAGTTTGCTTTGATTTTGGACTTCCTTTTATCTGAGCCGGTAGTCGCTTTCCTTTCATTTCAGTTACTATATTATCTATATATTCAAATTTTTAAATGAATAGTGCAAAATTATTAAAATTTTAAAAAGTGTGCAATAAAAATACCTTTAGTAAGAAATGCTATTTTTCATAACATTATCATCATCTGTGTCATAAACCAATCTATCATTTTAATCCATTCTATCCATCCGAGATTTAATTCATTGATAACAAATTATAGAACGGGGGTCACAAAATCACAACAAAGAGATTGCGAGAGAGTACTTATAAATAGATAATAAAGTGATAGATATAATTGATAATTTGATAATAGATAACTTTTGAATAACAACCGGAGGAAGTAATTATTACGTATATCAGCTACGCGAAAATGGTCAGTTTGGGCTATCACAGTTGCTATACGGTTGCCATTTTGGACTGACATTTTTGAAGTTAAATTAAATAGGACTTTATTCATCAAACACACCAACACATATACATGAAACATCACACGATATTATGTACTAATAAATTATGAGCTATGAGTGATGAAAAGGACGTAGTCTCAGCATAGTGCTTATTTTCAGACTCCGCCTGTGTTCTCTGTCGTAAATTGTCGGAACATAACTTTATAACATAAGGACGACAACAAAACAAACATCAATAATCTAACTTTTTATTTACTGGTTATAAGTTATAATAATATATACATCAAGCAAAAACAAACAAATCTAATCAGGACGACAAAGCGTACAAATGACTGTTACCAGACTAGATACGAATTACTATTCCACAACCGACCAGGAACATGTCGACTTCTGTTACAAAATAAGCCATTCCTTGCAAGTTCTTTATCAACTGATACGGTTAGGGTAATATAGTACTTAGATTGTACGTTCTATTTTCTTTTATACGCGCATTTTCCACGAAACGGCTAGTTTACTGTTTCTTTTTATTCAAACAAGGCTTACTCGTGCCTAGAAAAATATTATGTTTATAAAATGAGCAGTAAGAGTTCAATCAGTTCATCTAGCTGCTTCCGTGGCCGAACGGTTACCATGCCGGACTGCCACGCAGAGGTCCTAGGTTCGATTTCCGGGCCGGGAGAAATATTTGTATGGCCTACATTTATTTCTCTCGTGAGTTTGGGTGTAATTTGTGTTTGTCTATGTATGTGTCCATGGCACCCGCGACACAGGGTTTCCCTAGTGCGGGGCTATGATGAGTGCGTGCGTTATTAATCAGTATCACGATTTCAAGTACAATTTGCTTACCTATTAAATGAAGATTATTTGACTTTGACGAACAGGCGGAGAAAATTTGACACATTCAACATGTCGTTAAGTCGCTGGGCAGTTTTCTAATATTTCAATAAATGTGAATTTTACTAAATTCACATTTTTTAGACAATATTCTCATGTGTATAGTATATTTTTGTGCGACTGTTATTTAATAATAAATACGTAAAATATTTGGTCTATCTCAAAATTTTCTCCGGTCACTCACTTAAAGGCTATTAGAGTAAACCAATAACAATAAGCTGATATATATAATAATTGCTTAACGCTTAGAATCTGGTTTTTGTTCCAGGACAACATTTTTACAGACGACGGCAGAGTACCCTTGAGATTCGGAGGCGCATCTTTAAAACAAATAGCCCACTATGGTCAGAATATCAAAGACGATAGTTTCCGACAGTGGGACTATGGTATCTTAGGAAACTTGGCAAATTACGGGACCCGAAACCCTCCTGTATACAACTTGGGTCTTATTACTGCAGAGGTTGAGCTACATTATACAGTGAGTGATACAATGGTGGGTGTAGGAGATGTGCATTCTATGGCTGATGAAATGCCTAATAGTAAAATAAGGAGGGTGGCAAGGGAAAGCTTCCGACATGTGGATTTCATTGCTGCAAGTGACGTGAGGGAATTTGTTACTCTGCATATCATTGACTCCATAAGGAATTATACGTGAGTATTAATATCTTTGTTCTTAATTGATCACCATAGAAATATATTGCACCGCAGAACGTTTATATGGTAACCTATCACAAGCTCGATTTTTTTTTTCTGAAATACCGTTTGTTCGTAATTTCATTACACCGAAAACCGAATTATAACGAAACTGTTCTTTCGAACGATTTCGTTATAATTCGGTTTTCGATGTAATGATATGTTGAAGGATTTTCGTTGTAAGGATATGTTGAATGTTTATCGCAAAGACACGATTAGATTCGGTGAGGTTAGATTAAGTTAGGTTTAAAAGAAAAAAAACATTTTCTTCTCAAAATTACTTTCGAAGTTATGACAATTCGACCAAACGTTATTTCTGGAAAATGTCATTTCAGACTAGTGATAAGTAACCCGTTTATATTTGAATAAATAAGAATTAGGGGTAATGTAGCAATTTTATTAACATCTTTTAACATCAACTTAGTTAAATCAAGGATCGATACTCGATACGGATCAGGAGGACTGTTAATCTTCATATTACAGATCGTAATTCTGAATAACACAGGAGAAAATAAAAATCGGTGCTCACTGCTTAAAGGATTTTTAGAGAAAGCCCCTTAAATTGGAGCATAGCAAAATTAACCCTTAAAAGAATTACTCCTTATAAAATTTAGGCGCTGTTTATAAAAATGAGACTTGAGGCGTGAACAGCCACCCTTAGAGGTGGAATATTTTCTTGAAAATTATATGAGACCACTACTGGGGTACCTCATATTTCCAACAAAAAAGAATCATCAAAATCGGTTCGTAAATGCCGAAGTTATCGTGTAATATACATACAAAAAACACATACTATATATTTGAAAGAGGGCACCTCCATAGTGGTCCCATTTACTTTTGAAGAAATTATCTGCCTCTAAGGGTGGCTGTTCACGCATGAAGATTCATTTTTATAAATAGCGCCTAAATTTTATTATAGGGAGCAATAATTTTAATGGTTTATTTTGCTATTCTCCAAATTCAAGGCGTTTTTCTATCACAATATACTTTTAGTAATGAGAACCGATTTTTATTATCTCCTGTGTCAAGTTCAGTATAGTGGCGAACTAGGGGATGAATCCGGGTTTGCGCGCTTTCCAGTAATCGATTGCAATAAAACTTGGCAAATAGATGTAATTCCACGTAGTTTTGAGGTCGGTTTTTTAGTACTTTGTATTGAGATTATTGCCTTGTAATATTATTCAAATATTGATCATGAGCTAGTTTTATTTTTTGAACTTTAACAAACATGCGTGTCAATAGATGGCATTGTGTATTAAAAAATAATTTATAAACTAACGCTACCTAAAATGGGTAGATGGTGCAATAAGCGCCATCTAGTTGATTTGTTTGTTATCACTAGATATTAGAGTCAGTGTAAAACAAATTAGATAGAAAAATAGCTATTTAGTACTCGTCGCGACATCTGGTATACCAATAGGTAGTAAATGCATACGCTACCGACTACGCTGCATTGTATCGCGATTAGCAATCCTCTTGAGTTACTAGCCCATGGTAAACTTAATTGAAAAAAAAAAAACGAAACTAAACAAATTCATTTTTTTTAGTTTTGCGATAAAGCAGAACCAGTTGAAAATTTAAAAAAAAGTTTTTTTAATTAAAAAAAACCTAAGCAATAGGAAAAACTTTTTCGACTAATGTTTATGAAATTTACAAACCACTCTATAAACTTTCATTAACAGGAAATCAAAACAAATGAATGAAAAAAATGACAGTCGATTAATTTTTTTTTTTTCAAATTAGACCTAACATAAAAAAGGAAAATAACCGACCGGGCTTTTGAAAAAACAGTGCATTATTTTGGGGATTTAACTAGCGTTCCATAGCTGTGACAAAATTAATACTAAAGCGTTTTTGATATACGTGCTTTTTTTGCAGAGGAACCTATTAAGAAACTGACACCAGCAAACCTTATTCAAGCGAAGATAACTGTCACCACAGTATAAAGTAATATTCATTAAGACATTGTAATAACGTGAATTCTAATTTGTGTTGACTTTGCACAGTGTTTTTCAGTAATTTTACGTCAACTATTATTAAATTGTTAATTACCATGTGTACTTGTTTTGTATTTAATCTACTTATAAAAGTTCTATCTGAAAGGTTTTTTTCATGACTTTCGGCGGTAACAATCGTTTACATATGCGACTATTTGCACTGTGATACTTACGTATTAATGCAGATAAGTGCAGAAATATGGAGAATGTACGTACGTACTGGAAGAAAGACAAATATGTGTTCAGGGTGTAAATTTGAGACGGGGCAGCAAGGCCAGCTACCTTAATCGTTGTAGTTACAGGAAAACGGTTCTAGAATGAATTTTGAAGATATTTTGATTGGCATTCACACAAATTGCATAAAAGGCAATTTATACAAAACTTTTTTTGTCATTCGATCCAGTCTCTGGTAAGGATCAATAGTCTCTATGGGACAAACTGAGGTAAGAGTACTCGAAATGTCAGAAATCGCAAAAAACCTTTTACCATGCATTTTGTAAGGACATATTTAGTAATCAATTATTCTAGGTAGTGTTCGCTGTGGATACCAGATCAACCGTTATTCGATTTTATATTTCCGAAACAAAATAAGACACAAAAAATCTGAAAACGCCTATAGATAAGTCTTAGTTTAAATAACGAGATCATGTGTTTGTCCTATTTTGGCTGTATAATCACATCGGACTCTGTTCTTCGGAAGAGTCGAAATAGATGTAATTCGTAGGTTTTTTTAAACACAAAAGTAATAATAATTTCAAAACATGTTTTAATAAAGTAGACGCATTGTTTCAAATTCAGCAAATGATTGCGATTTCATAGTAATGATTATGTTTTACAAAACGTTCACAATAAAACATTTTATTAATATTTCAATAATAATAATAAGTAAATATTACGATTACATGCAGGCTAACTTGACTATAATGCCTTAAATAAAACCCTCGAGCGTTTTTTCTGCTCATTACAGACCATGACCGTAATATCATATTAATAATATTTATAATAACCGCTTTACTTGATTTTTTTTGAGAGCTATGAAGTTAGCCTGCACTTTATAAAATTATTCCCTTCTTTTATTATTTTCAATCGGACAGAATGTGATATTTCCAAAATTTCGTTAAAGTTGTGCTAGAAATTTAATTTTTCCAGCCATCGTGATTTTGTTTCATAGCATTATTAATTACGTATAATTAATATGAAATGTTCCATGAGCTTTGAACGAAAATATCGTTATGAAACCTGCACGCCGAAGGTTTACACATAACCCTTGGAAAACGTGTGAAGACTACAACCTGCATTGAGCCAGCGTGGCGGACTAAGGCCTAAACCCTGACTTGAGAGGAGAACCGCGCTTAGCAGTGGGTTGTATAAAGGGGGTTGATGATATAATAATGTAATCAATACTGAAGGCAACAATTTCTTTTCAATATATTCGCGTTTAATTTATATTAAATAGAAACATGACTTACTTTGCAGATAATTACTTCCGTGTGACAAAATATTAATATTATAATCTTACATTGGATTAAAAGATATTATTTTTATACACGGCAATATATATATATATATATCTCTAATTCTATATTTATTGTGTCATTTATTTGGTGTCTCTCCGCAAATGTTGACTAGTTTTATTACCTGAAACAAAAAATACAAACAAATGAATAATTGTGCCAAACAATCAGAATTTGTACAGTGTATTTTGGCTTTTATTGTGGCAATATAAATATTAAACGCGGTTCTACACTCATGGTAGAAGCATAGAGTAATAAGACAAGTATGTTAACAGAACCCAGAACACAACAAGGAAGCTGGAGGCTTTTGAGATGTGGATTTACCGTCGGATTTTGAGAATGTCGTGGCATTACCGGGTAACAAATCTAGAAATACTCAATAAACTGAAAAAAACATTGGAGTTTATGAATACTATTAAGTGCAGGAAAACTTCGCACTTTGGCCACGTAATGAAGAACAATAAGTACAAATAACTCTTGCTTATCATCCAAGGTAAAATAGCTGGAAAACGAAGTGTCGGTAGAAGGCTGCACTCCTGATTGAAAATTTTGAGGGAATGTTTCGGCTGCAGTACCACCTCGCGTTTCAGAGCGGCAGCCTCTAAAGTCAGTTTCCAATGATGTTGTCCAACCTGCCATAGGAGAGGAACACCAAGAAGAAAAAGAAGGTTAACTCCATACAAACGTTCAAGCGTGGCTTGTATGTGTGCGCGCCCGGCGCGCGTCTTGTACAGACACACACACACTCGCCTATTCTCGTGGTGCACTCACGTTGCATAGCGCGGGTTGTCGCATGCGCCATTCATTATAAAATTAAAGCGTTCATCAAATAGTAGACGTGTTTATTGTTTTGTTTCTGGTGGTTTGAACAGGAAGCCTCAATTTCAGAATTGTTCAGCATTTCATTTCTATTTCATAATCATACTCGCATAATCGAGATACTAATCCATGATCCTGCTATAAAAATATCAACTACTGCATACTGCACTTAACAAAGGTTACTTATTTATATAACTGCCACTAAAATAATAATGTGACAGCCCTACGATCCGAGTGACGTGCATTAATGCGCCAAACAGGGGGAATAGCCCTACTTGTATTATTATACGATTGTAGAAGTACTTATCACAGATGACAATCACCAGGTAATAATATCCTCTATGATTCTGAAATTAAATAGAGCATGATCCAGTTTCTACAGTTTTAATATAAAAATGCATCTACTTGATACTTGGTGCAACGGGCTGGTAATTTTTAATAGGTTTTATAGTACTGTTTTTTTATTAAAGCAAGGAAACTGATGAGATGGTACAAATAACTATGAGATTATGTAACAACGGGTGTGAGAACCACATGACCGCTCGAGACATAAATCGAGTTGCAATGAAGTCGCTTCGTTTTTAACTGACTTTAAAAAAAGGAGGAGGTTCTCAAATCGACTGTATGTTTTTTGTTTGTATGTTACGCGATAACTCCGGTATTGGTGAACCGATTTTCACGATTCTTTTTTTTGTTGGAAAGGGGGCACCTCCATAGTGGTCCCACTTCATTTTAAAAAAAATCATCCACCTCTAAAGGTGGCTGATCACGCATGAACATTCATTTTTATAAATAGCGCCTAAATTTTACTTTAGTAATTATTTTAATGGTTGGTTTTGCTATTCTCCAATTCAAGGCGTTTTTCTCTCTCAATATACTTTGAGTAGCGAGAACCGATTTTTATTTTATTATCTCCTGTGTCAAGTCCTGTATAGGCGAACTAGGGTATATTGCAATAAAACTTTGCAAATAGATGTAATTCCACGTACTTTTGAGGTCGGTTTTTTTAGTACTCTGTACTGAGATTATTGGAGAACTAAATAAACTTCTTCAATTCGTCGTCATTGATTGAAATAGTCGTAACTTGCAATAATAGGTACTGAATTTTCAACGACATGCCAACAGGGTAAAGGTTAAATTATAATATTATTATAACACTCCATAATTTGTGACACTTTTTAAATTAGAAACTGCAATCAAACATTATTATATACAATATTTCATCGTGTTTACTTAATGATTGTGTGAATTTTGACGACAGCGATTCCGATAGTAATCTAGGCTTAAGGTACTTCCATTCTGCCATCCGCTAACTAAAACCCGGCTATTGGCTAGAATATTGAAATTGTTTAATGATATTTGACCTATGCATCGTTAGGGTAAGTACCGACAAGTCGAACACGTTACCTAATTTTAACTGTTTTCAAAAGAGAATTTCGTGCTCTGTCTCTTTCTATTTGAAACGGATATTTGACCATTTGTCACTTTGCCGCGTTTTAGTTGGTGGACGGTAGCATTGTTCTTTTTTTCCGTGGTGTCCTTATTACACCGAGGGCGCGCGTTAATGTATGATTCTCAAGATGAAAACGGATTATAACCTAATCTTGGTGTTAATATATGTATTTCGTTTTACTGTATTAATGTGTATCGAAAAGATATGGATAAGCCGCTGTATAAAAGTCCAAGAGCGATTACGGAAACCATTAAAATATTACTGTCTTAGCTTAACTGTTTGAAAACGTTTATTTGGTATTATAAAATAAAAAAAAACGTATTAATTAATTCAGTGCATGGGATTTGTTATCAATATTGACGTAATACAAAAAATAGAAATAACCAATTTTTTGTTTTGAATTAGAATACGGAATGATATATTTAAAAATATATTAGAATACGGAATATATAATTTTGTATTTTAGTGACCATGACCGTGATACCATTTTTAACAGTATTTCTTTTGTGCGTGTTTCAAGTTGGATCAAGTGTTTATAATACTGTAAGCCGCCATTATCCTATTTATCATACCTTTCTTGTTTAAAAAATATTTATAATGTTTCAACCGTCACGCTTCCTGGAGACATGTAGTGTACCTACGGTTATAGTAAAAAAATATTATTTATACATTTTTACAATTTTTTTTATAAATTTAATTTTTTAACAAGGGTGGATGAGAAACTGAAAACACATCTGTGCGTTAGAGACTTCGAATGGCTTTAAGACACCACAGTATTTAAATGTTAGAAACACCGTGTCTCTGTAACACGTGACGGATTAAATAAAAATACAAGTCAACAGCATCTTTGACAGTAGCACGACATCTGATCGCAAGCCAAAAGTGTTTCACACAAATGCTGGGGGGATAAAAAGGCGATTAATAGAATAGAATAGAAATAATTTGTTCCGTATAAAAGCAGTATACACACTCCCTTTATTACTATTAAAAACAAATGGAAAGCACAACTTGCCTCATTATACGAGTATATAAGTTAACAACTTACATACTAATAAAAAAAACTTAAATCAATAAGTATGTAACGAGTAAATAATTAACATAACAGGCATCTTGTGCGCTAGGCTGTTACGGAATTAGTCATTATTTCCATTTATCATCTTATACAATTCGAACCACGCTGTGGTCTTGTATAATGCGATACTAAGTTAGTGGTTACCTTAAAATATGGCAACGTGTAACCTAAGCAATTTCTGTGTAAAAC